CAGTATTTGTATGGCAATAAGGAATGTGAAGCTGATAAATGAGCGAAGACCTTAGGTCATATTTGTTCTTCGAAACAGTGAGGAGATCCATCAGGTAGTCTGCTGACTTTTTTGTAAGTAGGTCGTGAATAAATAATATCTTATGCACAAGCCGTCGATCATTAACAGATGTTAAGTTTGACCCAATGTGGAGATCGCAGTGGTGGGTCCTATATGGGCAGTTCAATGCAAATCTTAAGGCCGAGTGATAAATTGAGTCAAGCTTCTTCAGTTAAGTACTGGGGGTTGATTTATATACGATGTCACAGTAATCAAGTAGAGGCAGTACGGTAGCTTTTATCAATTCCAAACGGAACATAGGGTTGAAGCGGTGCTTGTGTCAATACAGAAAACCTATTTTTACTTTCTTCTTTTTACCAATATGATCAATGTGAGCTTGAAAATTCAGTTTTGAATCAAGGATGACCCCAAGATACTTATAGATCTTGATTTGCTCTATTTCATCATTAGTTTTTGAATATAAATGGTGAAAAATAACGTCCTGCTTCAGTCCTGGTGAGAAGCATAGCACCTTGGTTTTGGAGGTATTCAAGACTAGTTTAAGAGCAACCAGCTGATGTTGTAGTTTGTTGAAATCACCCTGGAGCTTATCAATCACATCATTCGGAGAACGGCCAGCAGTAATCAGTATCGTGTCATCTGTAAAAGATTTACCCTGGAATGATCCAGGTCAGTGCCCAAGTCATTGACATAAAGAGATAACAAGAGGGGGCCGAGGATGGAACCCTGTGGAACCCCTTTTGTTATCTTAACACTGTTTGATCTCCAGTCATCTATGAATACATTTTGGGTGCGAGAAGAGGTAATTTTTCTAACCATTTCACTGCGTGTTTGGAGAAACGGAGGCAACTTAGTTTACTAAGTACGGTGTTGTGGTCGACTGTATCAAAGGCTTTGGACAAGTCATGAAAAAGACTGGCGCAGTATCAGGGCTCTCACCATCTACAGCATCCCACATCAGAGAATGAGGCTTACCACAGCCTTTGCTCGGAGGTTCAGAGAGCCATACAGTGCTGAAAAGATGGATGGTGGTCGCGGATTGCTGAGGATATGGAGTCTGCCTCAGTAGCCCGTGATCACAAATCACTCTTTAACCCCATAAAAACGTAACTTGCAGCACCACACCCAGGAAGAGCTTTGCAGATTTGCTGAGGATTGCTGTGAGGTTTTGGATAACATCATGGGACAAAGTGGGGATAATCCTGCTGAGTTTGCCAGGCCTAAAATATTGGAGGAAGTAGTCACTCCCGGTGAGTGGTTTGCTGAAGTGCCATGTGTTGAGGAAGTACAGAAGACAATCCAGAATCTGAGACCAGGAAAAGCGCTGGGCAGAGATGATCACGCAAGCGAAATGCTGAGGGAGGGTGGCGTTTGTGCGCAGACTGCCCTATATGACATCATGATAACAGTCTGGACCACTGGACCATATAGACTGCACAAACTGTAACAACTACAGGGGCATCTCCGTCCTCAGTGTGCCAGGAAAGGTCCTGGCAAGGATTATTCAACACCGCCTTGCCAGGCACGCTGAGGAAAGGCTTGTGAAGCCCAAATGTGGTTTCGGGAAAGGGTGGTCTGGCACAGAGGCTATATTTACGTCCGTTTGCTACAGCAGTGGTGTAGGCAATTTCAACAGGAGCTGCATCTCTGCTTTATTGCCCTGGTCAAGGCCTATGATACTATCAGTAGGCATGAACTGTGGGCAGTTCTTCGTGCTTTCGAAGTTCTTGACTCTCTGCTCACAATCATTGAGGACCTTCATAATGGTGGAAAGGCCCGGGTAACACTACGTGGCCGGGAGTCGGAGCCATTCCCTGTTCACCTTGGGGTGTGACAGGGTTGTTCTCTGGCTCCCACATTATTTTACATCTATTTCAACCACGTAGTTCGTAAAGCCTTCGATGGCTGTACCGGAGGAATGTTCATCTGGTACAGATAGAATGGGAGGCTGATCAATGCCCGGGTGTGGTCAAGCGATAGCTCCCTATTCGTCAGAGATATGTATGCCGATGATCTGGTGATTGCTGCTTACTCAGAGGAGGAGTTGGAGGCGCTGCTGCTGAACCTGAAGCATGCTACTTAGAGGTGGGCACTTACCATCAGCCTCACCAAAACTAAGCACCTGCAACTCCAAATTGGTGATGGGGCAGTTGTGGAGAGAGTGGAGAGTTTCACATACCTGGGCAATGTGCTCATGATTGGCTCCGCTTTGACAGCACGTATCAATCGAGCAGCATTATCTGCGTAACGCTGTATGGAAGCTGCCTGGGTTATCCCCTCCCTTCTCTACGCTTGCGAAATGTGGACCCCCTTAATGGAACATCTTCGTAGATTAGAAACATTTAGGCTGGCCTGCCTATGGTCCATCCTGGGTTTAACCAGGCTGGATTGTGTGAGGAGCTCATAAATTGTTGAAGGATCTGGACAAAGTCCCATCGGTGAGCTCCTCTGGCAACCAAGACTGCGTTGGCTGGGTCATGTAGTCCGCATGCCCAGCCACCGCATGCCTAAACAGCTTTTGTTCGACCAGATAGAGCGGGGTAAACAGGCGCGGCACAGTCTAGAGAAGAGATGGAGTGATGTGGTACAGGAGGAAGTGGAGCTAAGGGAACTTGCCAATGACTAGTACCAGCGATGTCCAAATTGGCCTGTGTGGAGGAAGCTCGTTAAGAACGCTACTGGGCAGTTGTAGGGAGTCGCCCTCCAGCAACAACCGAGGGCAGAGGAGCGACGCTCACAACAACGAGCGGAGCGCCGGGTGGCTAAAGCACAGCAAGTTGGCACATTAGGGGGCACAGGTGGTGCATCAGCCAGTCGTCTCAGTCAGTCGACCCATGGCACCTGGGTCAGTCCCGTGACCTCCTGCCAGCGGGTGTTCAACACTTCACGTGACCTTAACGTGCATATATAGCCTGGCACAAGCGCCATTGTGATGTCACCACCACTTAGTGGCGAATGGCGGTTGTTGTTGTGAGTGTGCGTCAGTGTGTGTGTCAGTGTGGGGAGCGGTAGTGTAGCCATTAGCGCGCTGCGCTGCAGTGTGTAAACATCACCACTAAGGAGACAAAGGTTGCCGGGCGTGCTACTGGCCACTCATTCCCTCGTGTGCCGTTTTCGGCCTTAATATGTGCTCGCTAACAGCACTTGCCCCTACATCACTATTGAGGCTACATGGTTGATCTTTGTATGTTTGTGAGTGTGTACATAGGTGCTGCTACTCGCTACTTACAGAATATTTGTCTTTTGTGTGTGGAGAGCGGTAGTGTAGTGGTTAGCGCACTTCGTTACGAAACCTGGCCACCCGAGTAAAATTTCTGCTCACGGCCAACACCAGTGACGATTATCTGACACTGGTCCTGGGCCTCCCCTATGTCGACTCAGCCTCAAATGAGTACCTAGTGCGGTTTGTAGTAAACATCGCCGCTAGGGATACAATGGCGGTCGGGCGTGGTGCTGGTCACCCTCCCCCTCGTGTGCCGTGCCGGCCTTCATCGGCAGTGTTTGCTAACATCACTTGCCCCAAAAGCCTGTTAAGGCAATACGGGGGGTCTTATCTTCGTGTGCACGCGTGTGTGTGGGGGGGGGGACTGCAACGGTTAGCACGCTGTGCTACCAACCTGGCGACCAACATTCAATTGTGGGGCTCCATCTCCAACTCGACCGGGTTCACCCAGCCGTGAGCCCCGATGTCGCAGGCTCCATGCGACTTCGTCATCATGAAACAATCTCGACACCACGTTCCTCTCTTTTTTACGATCAGAGGAAACAAGAAGATGTTCGGTGTAGTCGGCACTAGTCTTCGTTCATCATTTAGTTTTTTTAATGCTTTGCTTTATGTAACCCCCCCCCCTTTTTAAATGAAAGATTTCACAATAGATTTCACGCTCTGCTCTCCTTACCCCTTCCCTCTCTCTCTAGCCCCTCTCTACCCCCCCCCTCTCCCTACTCCATGTCTATGTTCCCCCTATATTTTCTATGTAGTATTTGTAATATTACTATAAAAAAATTACAAGTTCTGCATCTGTACCCAGCTCTTCTCGCAGTCCTACGGCCTCCGACGGGTAGCTCATTGTCTGACTCCTGTGTGGGAGGGTTGTGCTCGTTTTGTCCAAGATGCGTGGCTAACGGCATCCTGGCGCTACACTCAATCCACGACTTACACAGAAACCGGGGACTCCATGCCATATACAGTCTCGCTAATACCTTTATTTCCGGCACGCACAAACCCTTGAAAGTAAACGGTCCAGTCGACACAACCCGAGAGTGCATTGCAAGAAAAAAAACTTCTCCAATGCTTCCTAACCCACCCAGTCGACCAAGCGTCCTCCCTCGTAGCCGCAGTAACTGGCGTCGCACGGACTCTGTGACCGGTAAGGAGAGTCGGGGGGCTTGCCGAGATGTCCACGGCAAAGACTTCGGAGACAAGACGCCCCCCCCAACCTCGTTCCCGGCGTCTCACCTTTAATTTTCAACTTCGAAAAACCCATGTCACGTGATGATACGGCGCGGCCAATCGCGCGCCTACCTGTGGCGACATCCAGGGACCTTTCCTCTCACAGGACCGCGGATCCCTTTCATTTACCCCGAACCATTGTCCGCTTTCCCCGCCACGTGTCACCCTGACGCTGTTTCTCAGGAGTGTAGAACTCACCGCAGCTGATCCGGTCATCTTTGGGGCCGTCCATAAATGACGTCACGCGATTTTGGACGATTTTTGACCCCCCCCCCCCCCCATTCGTCACACGACGTCACAAAAAGTCAGACCCCCCCCCTCAAATATGACGTCACAAAGCTCTGCCCCCCCCCCCCAAAAAAAAACATGCTTCAAATCGCTTTAAACTATTGTCATTGTAGTGCGTATTTAATGTGGCGCTATAGGAGAAAACATTTATTAAAAAGTCTTTAAGTAGAACGTGTTGTCTATATTTATTTAAAGTTGCGCATATTGATGTGACGTCACATTTCTCAAACCCCCCCCCCTCGTCACTCGTCACAAATGTCTAACCTCCCCCAGGTGCGTGACGTCATTTATTAACAGCCCCTTTTTTGTGTGCCGTACCACTGTCAATCCAATTCAGGGGCGCTTCAATGTAAACTGCCCTGTTGGGTCGAGCCAGGACACCGGTGGACATTCCTCGGAGGAATCCTCGAAGTAAAACCCAACTGGTAGACCCAGGTGATCCCCAATGAGGACACTACTTGTGAGTGTATTCAATCGTGGGGAAGAGGGGGGGTGGGGGTGTTTTGGGGACAGGGTGCAGTTTTCGTGGATGCAGGGGGGCGGCGCCGGCAGAGTGGCCTCGATGCTGTGGCATCAGACAATTGTCACTCACGATCAACACCTGTGACGTTCATCTGAACCAGTCTTGGGCCTCCACTCGGTTGATTCAGCTTCAAAGGAATAGCGGGTGCGGTGTAAACATCGCCGCAGGGGAGACAAAGGCAGCCGGGCGTGGCGCTGGCCACTGACCTCGTGTATCACAGTGCCGGCCTTCATAGGCGTTGCTCGCTAACAGCATTCGTCTCGACAGCCTGTTAAGGCTACATGGGAGTTCGTTGTCGTTGGGGTGTCTGTGTGTCTCTGTGTGTGCCCCTTGTCTGTGTGTGTGCCCATTGTCTGTGTGTGTGTGCGCAATTGTGGTGCCTCATTGCCCCCCTTCCGACTACAAGCTAGCATCAGGACTCAAGGTAAGTGAAAATAAAAAATATATGTATTTACGTGACTTAATGTTATGTTTTACTTACTGTACAGTAATGTTTTTTACGGTGTTACCTGCAAATGTATAACATATCTTCCTAATTATGATTTTAACGATGCTTCCATTTTTGTTGAACCGTAACACATTTCATAACACTGACCATCTGGGCATTTAAAAATAGTGCATTATTTTGTTCCGACTTACGAACCGACTTGGGTTCGTAACCCGAGGACTGCCCATATTGTAAAGTGTAGTAAGTGTATAATGTAGTGTATAGTCTACAGTTGTATGTGTGTATGTTGAATTTATTTCGCACCGTATGTAGCCAATCGTGCTAATCGGAGGTGCGGGGGAAGGACAAAAAAAATTAACACAAGAAGTAGTTCTAAAGAGAAGAGTTTTCACTGTAGTAATGTTGTGGAAAGTGTATATTAGTGTAGTGTATAGTAGTGTAATGAATAATAGTTTATAGTGGTGTAGTGTATAGTATTCTAGTGAATAGTAGTGTATAGTGTAGTGTGTAGTAGTGTATAATATGTAGTGTATAGTAGTTTGTATGTACATTGAACTTCTTTCGCACCGTACGTGGCCAACCGTGATAACACAATCAGAGGTGCGGGGAAAGGACAACTAACACACAAAAATGTGTGCGAGTGACTCGGTGTTATGGAAGAGTCAGCGAGTCAGTGCCATTTGTAAGTCACCACACACGATGGAAGTTCATCCGAGCCGATGGTCTGGACAAGGCTGTGTGAGTGATTTGGCAAGTGTGGAATCACAAACTCACACCCACTCCGTGATGACAGTTCTATCAATCTGGTGGTCTGGGCAAGGCTCTCTAAGTGCCTTAGTGAGTGAGTGGGTAAGTCAGCGAGTCGTCATACGCGACGGTAGTTCTGTAGTGCCGGTGGTGAGTTTGTAAGTCACCACATGGCGTGGCAGTTCTGTCGATGCGGTGGTGTTGGCAAGGCTGTGCGAGAGACTTAGTGAGTGTGAGTGACTTAGTGAGTGAGCTGCCACACACATGCTGTGATGGAAATTCTGTCTAGGCCGTTGGTCTGGACAAGGCTGAGTGGGTGAGTGGATAAGTCAGCGAGTGGCCACACACCATGACAGTTCTGTCGATTCGGTTGTGTGTACAAGGCTGTGCAAGTGACTGACTTAGTGATTCCCTACATGCATGTCGTGATGGCAGTTCTGTCGATGCGGTGGTGTGGGCAAGGCTGTGCGAGTGACTTTGGGTGTAAGTGGGTAAGTCAGCAAATCACCACACCCGATGACAGTTCTGTTGAGCCGGTGGTCTGAGCAAGGCTGTGCGAGTGACTTGGTGAGTCAGTGAGTCACTACGCACGCCGCGATGGCAGTTCTGTCGATGCGGTGGTGTGGGCAAGGCCGAGAGCGGCATCTCAGCAGGAGCAAGCCTGCTGAGCGTGGGCCCCTCCCGCCAGGATCACAGGGGCGTCCCCCCGGCCGGCGTTGTCCGACGAGGCGGAGGGGAGTCTCTCGCAGATAAGGTCCACGAGTGCGTCGAAGGTCTCGGCCACGCCGAGGTTCTCCTTGGAGCTCGTCTCACGGAAGCCGAAGCCTCCACGGCCCCCAGAGGGAGGGGAGAAGGGGGTGTGGAGGGGGAGAGGTGGGGAGAGTGAGGATGAGGGGGATAGCGGGGAGAGGGAGAGGGGTGGGATGAGGGAGGGGGGGATTAGGGGAAGGGAGGGAAGTAGGAGGGAGAAGAGCGGATGAAGGGGGAGGGAGAGAATGAAGGGGCATGGGGGAGAGTGGAGATGAGGGGAGTGGGGGGAGTGAGAGAGATAGTTGTCTATACACAAAGCTCCTGAATTCACCTCTGCAAGTTTTGTTTATTCGCGATTTTATTTTTGCCTTTTTTAGTGTGGATTGTATTCCCCGACGATACGTTATTTGCTTTATATACCTTTTGATAACTCTTATGTTCATACAGTGATCCCTTGGAAACCGCGAATTTACCAACCGCGAGATGTGAGCACACCCGGATTGACTTCTGCATACCTTTGATTTAAAGCTTTCGTGACTGCAGTAATTCATATTCTTAGTTTTTTCACTGTAAGCGTGAACAATCAATCACATATACAAACACAGAGACAATTTCAACCGAGAAGATGGATTCTATCTTAGCAATCATTGGAAAGATTTGATAAATCATTTCAGTTCTTGATTGATTGTTCACGCTTACAGTGGCTTTCAGACAGCATACATAAAAACAAATTTCGTCTCCCCCCTCCTCTTTTCAAAAAATAGATGGACTAGTCCTGGCAAACAGCCAATCGTTGCGCGTGACGCAAACGTTATTTTTTTTATATATAAATAAATAAATATGCCGTTTTCAAAATAAATTTATGCAAACCGACACACCTGATGATGAGCGTTTGAGTTATGGTCGAAACGTCGTGAGAATTTTTATTGTTTTATATATATTTTGTTATTTTGTTGTTTCTCTTCAACGTGACTTTACCGAAAAAACTAAGAATATGAATTCTGCATACCTGTTTACCAGCCGCGAGCATCTCCATTTGATATTCTTAGTTTTTTCGGTAAAGTCACGTTGAAGAGAAACAACAAAATAACAAAATATATATAAAACAATAAAAAATTCTCACGACGTTTCGACCATAACTCAAACGGTCATCATCAGGTGTGTCGGTTTGAGTTTATTCGGAGACTCCTCTACTTATGGGCATTCAATTTACGAACTTCCAGAGATACGAACAACCCCGTCCGTATGTCTCGTTGCCTGTTTGTACCGAGAGTCGTTAGTTCAACCGCAGTGTGACAGATGGGAACGTCACCCCCCCCTCCTCGGGGGATGGACCAAGGGACGAGCGAGACACGTCAAGAGGGCGGCGACTGAGAAGGAACAAGGTGGCGGCCTCAATTCAGACCTCAACGAAAATAAAATCATCATTAGACCTCCTTTGCCAGTAGCAAAATATAATAATAGGGGTTTTCCCCTTTTTTTCTTGCAACAAAACTGAAACCTTTTTACAAGGAATCATGTGTGCGTTAACCAGAATACTTGTGGTCAAAATGCAAACAAAAAACACATTGATAATATATGCATTGTCCTTAAAATTGATTGGTCCGCTGTGTAGCCTAACCTAGAGGTACTCCCAGTGGGAGCTGTCCCTGTGCGTTAGCTTGGTGCTAATAGGGGTAGTGATGACTGGCTGCTGTGGAGCCTACCCTATGTTCGTCCACTTCACAAAGGAGACCCTAAAGATGATCCAAATAACTACCGACCGATCTCAATTTTGTCTTCCATTGATGAAAATTTTTGAAAAATTACTGAACTATCAAATTAGTAGTTTCCTGTCCGACAACAATATATTACGTAGAAAACAATCAGGGTATCGAAACAAATACAGCACCACAACTGCTGCATTGGACTCTCTAAATCACATTTACAGTAGCTTTCATAAAAAGCAATACTGCGCCAGTCTATTTCTTGACTTGTCCAAAGCTTTTGATACAGTGGACCACAACAGTCTGCTAAGTAAACTAAGTTGCCTCCATTTCTCTGAACACATAGTAGAATGTTTAAAAAATTACCTCTCTTCTCGCCCCCAAACTGTCTTCACAGATGGTTGGAGGTCAAACAGTGTTAAGATAACAAAAGGAGTTCCACAGGGTTCAATCCTCGGCCCCCTCTTGTTTTCTCTTTATGTTAACGAATTAGGCACTGATCTGAATCATTCTAGGGTGAATCTGTTTGCAGATGACACTATACTGATTACTGCTGGACGCTCTCCGGATGACGTGATTGCTAGGCTCCAGGGTGATTTCTACAAACTACAACGACAGCTAGTTGCTCTTCAACTAGTCCTGAATACCTCCAAAACCAAGGTGCTATGCTTCTCACCAGGACTAAAGCAGGACGTTATTTTTCCCCATTTATATTCAAAAACTAATGATGAAATAGAGCAAATCAAGATCTATAAGTATATTGGGGTCATCCTTGATTTAAAATTGAATTTTCAAGAAGACATTGATTATATTGGTAAAAAGACAAAAATAAAAATTGGTTTTCTGTATCGACACAAACACTGTTTTACCGCTATGGTCCGTTTGGAATTGATAAAAGCTACCATAATTCCTCTACTTGATTACTGTGATATCGTATATAAATCAGCACCCAGTACTGCTCTGAAAAAGCTTGACTCAATATATCACTCGGCCTTAAGATTTGCATTGAACTGCCCATATAGGACCCACCACTGCGATCTCTACATTGGATCAAACCTAACATCTCTTAATGATCGACGGCTTATTCATCAGATATTTTATTTACGATGTACTTACAAAAAAATCCGCAGATTACCTGCTGGATCTCCTCATTGTTTCGGAAAACAAATATGAGCTAAGATCTTCGCTCATTTACCAGCTTCGCATTCTTTATTGCTGTACAAATACTGGAGGAAGGGCTTTTGCTATGGATGCCCCCAGGGTCTGGAATGCTATCGCAAATAAACTCCAGCTTGGATCATTACCTACAAGACCATCACTCAAAACTGCTCTAGAGGAGTCGTACAACCCTAGCTGCCACTGCTATCCAGTGGCCTGAAATCAAATATATAGCTACAGATGACCAATGCGAGAAATTTTCATGTATTTTGATTATAGTGTGCTGCTACTACTATTGTTACTCCTGCTATTATGGATTGACTCGTGCAGCTAGCGAAGGATGCTAGGTTTAGTAATAGATTTTATGTATGTCGCTATTGTAAACTTTCAATCACATTTCTTATGATCACTGTTACATTGTTTTTATAGCATTATTTTAGTAATTTCTAGAAAGGTTTAGTTTAGCCCGATTTTTTGATGTAGTATAGAGTTATACTTAAAATTTTAATCTATTTTGTATTATGATTGTTATTGTGATCTAACATCAAAAAGGAATTTTTGCACAGTTTAATATGCAGCATTAACAAATCGTGCTTTATTCTGGAAGATTTTATTGTTTTTGTAGGGGATGTTTCAATTTGCGTACAGTAAATTTTAAATGTATTTTGTAATTTTATTGTTTGTTGCGGTTGCACCCGAATCAAGAGCCGAATGGCTCACAGGGTTATTCAAAATAAATGAAACTGAAAACTACCCTAGGGGCACACCCAGTGGTAGCTGTCCCTGTGCATTAGTTTGGTCCCAGTAGGGGTAGAGATGACTGCTGTTGTGTAGCCTTGCCCCTGTCAAGGCTACACGATGGTCGTGGTGGTGGAAGAGGGGTGAGGTGTATCTTCGTCTGCGACTTTTTTACCGAGTTGCTCTGCCAGTCGCTTGCCCGTGTCGGTCGCCACCACTCGCTCCGGCTCCAGGTCGCATTTGTTGCCAACAACGATCACCCGAGTGCTGTCCCAGGAGTAGGCGGTGATCTGAGTCGCCCTAGAGGAGAACACCAGGGGAGGGAGGGGGGTGAGATGTTGACTACCTCGACTGGTATGCAGGAGGTTCGTGGATTCAATTCCGTGACTGACGATGCCTGCTGCCGTATACGTGGAGACTGTGTGTGTCTCTCTCACAGTGGAGATGTTGACTGCCTAGCCCAGTATGCAGGAGGTTCGTGGGTTTGATCCTGTAACTGCCGATGCCTGCTGCTGGATATTTGGAGTCTGCGTCTCTCTCTCTCTCTGTCTCTTTCGCTCCCCGTGGTGGTCGCTCGAATATTTTCCTCCACATTTAGAATCAACGTGCATTGTGTGGCTAATTACGACATAATTTCGCCAGATCATTACGAAAACAGCCATGTGTAAAGTTAGACAGAGTTTAGTTTGCCATCAGCCCTTTATCAATCTTCTGCTAGATGAAGGCCTCTCTGAGCCATACGCCATGCTAGCTAGGAGATGTTAATTACCTCGCCTGAGTTGCAGGAGGTTTCGTGGGTTAAATCGCGTGACCCTGACGATGCCTGCTGTATACGTGGACTCTTTATGTGTCTATCTCTCCCAGTGGAGATGTTAACTACCTCGCCTGGTATGCAGGAGGTTGTTGGTTCGATCCCCGACCCTGCGAGATGTTAACTACCTTGCCTGGTATGCAGAAGGTTCGTGGGTTCCATCCCGTGACTTTGACAATGCCTGCTGATGTATATTTATAGTCTGAGTCTCTCTCTCCCCATGGAGATGTTAACTACTTCACTTGGTATGCAGGAGTTCGTGGGTTCGATCCCATGACCCTGACGATGCCTGCTGATGTATATTTGAAGTCTGAGTCTCTCTCTTCCCCCGTGGTCGTGTGGATTTTTCTCCGGGCACTCCAGTTTTTCCCTCCACATTTAGAATCAACATCACCACGCGTTTTCAGAATTTGGCTGCTGCTATGAATTTCCACGTGATGGTAATCCCCTTTGTTGAGCTATCATTTGATAGCCGGGTCGCTTTTGAAAAATAACTATACAGCTCAGTGGGCCTTGGTAAAATAAAAAAAAAATGTTTAGTTTATTGGTCTCTATGTCTTTCAGGGTCTCTATGTATGTCTATGGGTCTATATGGATCTCTATGTATCTCTATGTGTTTACAGGATTGGGCTGCTGCTATACATTTCTACACAATGATATGCCACATTTAGTTGAGCTGTAATTTGTGATAAACTATTTTTATTTTACTAGGTAAGGCCCCACTGATCTATGTAGCTATCTCTTTTAACAGAAGACGCCTGGCGATCATAAATGATAGATGAACCAAATAACTGATATCATCGCCGTGTGGAAATTCACAACGGCAGCCAAATACTCTAAACTCATGGCGTTGATTCTAAATGTGGAGGATAAAGCGAAGGGTCTGGAGAAAAATCAGCAGCCATCATCAGGGTCACGGAATCGAACCCACGACCTCCTGCATACCAGGCGAGGTAGTTAACATCTCCACGGGGAGAGAGCGAGATGCAGACTCCAAGTATCCAGCAGCAGGCATCGTGAGTGTCGGGATCGAACCCACAACCTCCTGCGTACCAGGCAAGGTAGTGGCAGCTGTCTCTGTGCATTAGTCTACAAGTAGGGGGCGAAGATGATGGTGGTGTATTGGTGAAGGCGGAGGAAGTGTGCTGATGGTAGTGGTGGTCGTAACGGTAATGGCAGTGATGGTGGTGGTGATGTTAGTGATCGTAGTGATGGTAGTGGTGGTGGTGATGGTAGTGGTGGTGGTCGTGATGGTGGTCATGGTAGTGGTCATGGTAGTGATGATAGTAGTGGTGATGATGGTAGTGGTGATCGTAGTGATGATGATGGTGGTGGTGGTGATGGTAGTGGTGATGCTGGTGATGCTGGTGGTGATGGTAGTTGATGGTGGTAGTGGTGATGGGAGTGATGGTGGTCGTGATGGTGGTAGAGATGGTTTTCCTGTTCGTGATTGTAGTTATGATGATGATGGTAGTAGTGATGGTAGTGATGGTAATGGTAGTCGTGATGGTGGTACCAATCGGTGATGGCTGTGAAGGACTCCTGGCTGGTGATGTCGTACACCAGCAGGAACCCCATAGCGCCGCGGTAGTAGGCAGTGGTGATGGTGCGGTAACGCTCTTGACCCGCGGTATCCTGACACGCGCACAGTCGGTGCCAGGCTAGGTGCACCCACTCTCTCACTCACTCATACAGCCAACCACTCACCCACTTAACCAATTACCCACTGGCCTACCCAGCCATTCGCTCACTCACCCACGCACACACCCTCCCACCCACCCACTTACCCACTCACCCGTCCTCTCACCCTCCAACCCACTCACTCACCTACCCACTCACCAACCCTTTCACTCACCCATCAAAACTTTGACTCACCTACTAACCCACCCAACCACTAACTCACCCACAAGCACCCATTCACTCACTCACCCACCCACCTAGCCATCCACCCACCCACTCACCCACAGTCCCACAGACCCACCCACTCACCCACCGTCCCACCCACTCACCCACCCACTTACCAACCCACTCACCCACCCATCCACTCACCCACCATCCCACCCACCCACCAACTCACCCATCCATCCACTCACTCACCGTCCCACCCACATACTCACCCAGATCTGGAGTTTGATGGTCTTGCCGCTGCGTCTCAGCGTCTTCACCTTAAAGTCGATGCCCACTGTGGAGACGAAGGCGGCCGTGAAAGAGTCCTCCGCATAGCGGAACAGCAGCGACGTCTTCCCCACCCCGCTGTTGCCTATGATCAGCAGCTTGAACATCAGGTCGAAAGGCTGCTCCACCCCTCCAGCTCCACCTCCAGCATCGCCTACAGCTATTAGTTCACCAGCACCCCCTCCACCACCACCTCCACCACCACCTCCTCCTCGAGCTTGCTGCTTGGGGTCAGCAGCTGAGGCCATCTAATGAGGGAGGGTGGGAGGGAGGGAGGAAGGGAGGGGAGGGGGGATAGAAGGGGGGACGGAGGGAGGAGGGGACAGGGGGAGGGAAGGGAAGGAGGGGGTGAATTGGGGGGGGGGTCAAACACACCCACTCACACACGAACACAAATTCACACTCACACACACACTCTTACTCATACACTCACTCATATACTCACCAACAACAACAGCCGCCGATCATCACTAGGCAGTGGTGACGTTACCACAGTGCCTGTGCCAGGCCACATGCAGGCCAGCTGCAATTGAAGGCCACGTTAAGTGTCGAGGGATCACTGTTGGCAGGAGGTCACGGGACAGACCCAGCAGGTGCCATGGGTTTACCGACTGAGATGACTGGCAGAATCACCACCTGTGCTCCCCTACTATGTGACTTTTTGCTGTGTTTTATCCACAAGGAGCTCCGCTCATTGTTGTGAGTGCCGCTCCTCTGCCCACCATTGTTGCTGGAGGGTGATTGCCTCCAACTTACCAGTAGCGTCCTTCACGAACCTCCTCCATAGCGGCCGATATTGACACTGCTGGTACCAGTCATCGGATAGTCCACTCAGCTCCACATCCTCCGGTACCACATCATTCCATCTGTTCTCTAGCCCGTACCATGCCCATTTAGCCTCCTCTATCAGGCCAAAAAAGCTGCTTGGGCATGCAGTGGCTGGATATGTGCATTACATGACCTAGCGAATGCAGCCTTCCTGACTGGAGGCGCTCAATGATGATGGAGACTGTTCCAGATCTCTCGAGGATTTGTGAGCTCCTCGCAAAATCCAGCCTGATTAAAGCAAGGATGGATCGTAGGCAGGCCAGCCTGAATGTTTCTAACCAGTTTCATTCTGGGGGGATCCACGTTTCACACGCATAGAAAAATTAGGGCATCACTGTGGCCCGAGAAGACCCGAAGCTTTGTATGGAGTGACAGACCAGGAGCTTCCGCACAGTAGCAGCTTATGCAGCCAATGCAAATATAATGCTGCTCGACTGATTCAGTGAGACCTCTGCTGCCAAAAAGAAGCTGGTCATACTCACAATGCCCAGGTATCGGAACTAATCGAATCTCTACACAACTGCCTCATCGCTCATGAGGAATTAAGGTGGTGGCATATGTCATGACACAAAACACCCAGACTCAGTTTGGTGGGGCTCGTATTAAAGTCTCACTTCTTAGTGGCATGCTCCAGGTTCAGCAACAAAGCCTACAACTCCTAAGATTGAGCAGCAATGCCCAGATCATCAGTATGCTTAACATGGTTTACCAATATGGAGCCATTCCTTAACTGCACTCAGACGTCATACAGCCTTCCCTTGTATCTGTACCAGATGGAGATTCCTCTGGTACAGCCATGGAATGCTTCTCGAACTATGTGGTTGATTATGATGGTAATTTATGTGAGAGCCAGAGGACAACCCTGTTGCACCCCAAGGTGAACAGGGAATGGTGTGACTCCCGGCCACATAGCTTTACCTGGGCCTGCCCACCATCAAGATGGTCGATAATGATTCTGAGCAGAGAGTTGGGAATCCCAAAAGCATGAACAACATCCCAGAGCCCTGGCCTGTTGATGGTTTCATATGCCTTAACGAGGTGAATAAAGAAAATAAATAGGTCCCCTTGAAATTCACTACAACTCTGCTGTGGCAGAAGGACGGGGAATATTGCGTCTGTGCAGGATCACTCCGGTCTGAAACCATATTGGGGCTCCACAAGCCTCTCCTCAGCACGTTGCCTGGCAAAATGATGTTGAATAATCCTTGCCAGAACGTTCCCCGACACACTGAGGAGGAAGATGCCACTGTAATTGTTACAGTCTGCGCGATTCCCCTTCTTAAATAAGGGGACCACCAGGAATCCTTCCAATCCTGCAGAACCCGTCCTGTGGTTCAGACTTATTATGATGTCATATAGGATAGTCTGCACACAAACGCCACCCTCCCTCAGCAGTTCGCTTGGTATATCATCTCTGCCCGGCGCCTTTCCTGGTCTCAGACTCTGGATCGTATTCTGTACTTCCTCAACAGATGGCACCTCAGCCAGCCACTCACGGGGGGTGACTATTTGAGGCACCGCAGCCTAAGGAGGGTCATCCCATTCCCACTTTGCCCCATGATTTTTCATGGGCTCAGAAAATCTGCAAACCTGCTCCTGGGGGTTAGAGATTGGATCACTAGTCTTTCCCCTAATGATGGTGATAGATGTGGCGCTGCAAGTTACCGTTTCAATGGAATTAAAGAGTGATTTGTGATTACAGGCTGCTGATGCAGATTCCATCAGCTCAGCAACTCGCGGTCACCACCCATCCTTGTAGCACCGCACAAGCTTCCGAGTGAAGGCTGCAGTAAGCCTCCTCATTCTATAACGTGGGATGTTGAAGATGATGGGAGTGGGCTTCTCCCTTTTTCTCAGCTAGCTGGAACATCTCCATCAGCCAGGGTCTCTATGTCGGTCTGGATTGTGTACCTAATGCAGTCAATGCAGCTGCATGAGCGACAGTCCGGAATATCGCCCATTTTCCCTCGACATCAGGACGAGTAGGGACGATGCCAACCCCAGCCACAAGCGATGATGAAATTCTCGCTTGCAACTTTCATCAGCTAGCTGAGGCCATGCCACTAAGGGTTTGAATGGGGTCCTGGGTGTACACCCACCACTGGAGTGTAGGAACGGCAGGCGCATCTTACAGATGACAAGTCGATGGTCAGTGGCAGATCAACTCCACGGTAGGTGCTGGTGTCAAGGACATGGGCCTGCATCCGTTGTTCCGTCACTATGTAGTCCAGCAGATGTTCTTGCTTGGACCCGGCAAGCATCCATGATGTTGTGTTGATGCACCGTTGCCGGAATAGCGTGTTTGTAATTACAAGCCCATAGGCTGCACAAAAAACGAACAGCCTCCTGCCGTTGTTATTAAGCTTATCTGGCCCATGCCTTCCAATCACTCCAAACCAGGTACCAGCATCATGACCAACTCGGCCATTGAAGTCACCCAGCAAGATGACTCTATCCCGAGGGGCCACTTTAGCTAGCACTTGTGACAGGAGGTCATAGAAGGCATCTGACTCATCGGCCTTGCCTGCATCCCTCTACGGATGTTCGTCTTCGGTGGGGGCATAAGTAACCACGACCACCACTCCTTGTCTCTGGTTGATGGGAAGGCGAGCCCAAAGTTGTCTGGGGCTTACAGCTTCCCACACCTCACCGCCACACTTCCGCAGTCTCCTGCCCCCAGTAGAGGACTGTCCACCCTTCATGGTGGAAGGAGCCAGAGCCGATCCACCGGACCTCCTGAATACCACAGAGATTCCAGGCAGTACCGGACCAGCTCCCGACAGAGGAGTAGCAGCCTCTCCTCCGCAGTGAGCATTCGAACATTCCACGTGACCACATGTAGTGGTTTTTTGTTGTTTCTGTAGGAGCCCCGAGGGTAAGGATTCAGTTTCCTGGCTCTGCCAAATGGGGTTTGGCCAGAAGACGTCATAGACGCCTGTGCCCCTGGGGCCTCCGGCACAAGCTTATTAATTATGTTTTTCCGTCGTGGTTTAGTGGTAATTAATTGAAGGTGGACGGGTTACCAGCCCCTCGCAGCCATGCAGAGCCCCTATTTGGCCAATGTGGTGGTTACAAACGCCATGAGGGGAAAGGCCAAATTAAATTGGCCCTCCCCCCATGGCACTGCCCACCACAGCATTGCCGCCTGGCACCACGAGGATGTAGGGTGTTGTTTTTGCCAGACAAGAGTACACCACACTCTACAGTATACACAATGCAGTACACCACGCTAGTGAACAGTAGACGGTAATCCACACGAGGCTGCATACCTGGCAACCCATATGGTTTGCTCCGTATCCTTGTACATAGAAACTGAGTTTTCAGGTCCATACGGTGTGCAGCCGTTTCAATACGGGAAACCAAAAAAATATATTTTTACGTTTCTCCCTTGTGATGGGACTTGATAGGATGAATGTTGAGATTTATAAGGGGCACGGGATGACCAATAAGTTCTGAATTGATCTGTAATAAGGTATGTAGTACAGTATTCATATTATTTGGGCATTTCGGTAAAGTCACGTAGATAGGTTCAAAGAAAATATAAAATCAGAGAGCCAAAAAATAGCTCTCTGATTCGGCTCTCTGATTTTACATTTACAGGTTAAATTTCTGTTAATGTAAAATCAGAGAGGCGAAAAACGGCTCAACAATCTTACATTAACATCTTACTTAAAAAAGAGGTGACATTGTCATCCTCTCAGCCGACAAGGGCAATGCCACTGTCAACATGGATAAAAACACATAGAACAACAAAATCCAGGACCTTCTTAATGATGGCAGTTACATCAAAATCAACAAAGATCCTACCAACCCCCTGGCCACAAAAACCAACAACATCATCACTAATTCGACTTCTCTAATCGAACCTACCAAGCAGCTCTCCCTAAAACCTTCGGCTGCTAGACCACGAAGATTATATGGCCTTCCAAAAATCCATAAAGAAGGTACTTCACTCCGCCTATCGTATCCACCATCAACTCACCTACCTACAAACTGGCCCGATTTCTGTCTGAGACCCTGCTTATATTCACAGGCAAGACCACCTCAGTGGTACTTCACTCAGTTCACTTGGTTTCTCTAATCAGGGACATTTCACTGTCTCCAGATGATTTGCTTGTCAGTTTCGATGTAGTCTCTCTGTTCACCAAGGTACCTGTACCTGACACCATAGCAATCATTGAAGACTTGGTCCAACATGGACTGAATCCTGATGTACCAACTTTGGTGAGGCACTGCCTTACCAACACTTACTTCACCTGGAATGGTACATTCTACAAACAAAATGAAGGTACCCCTATGGGTTCCCCTTATCACCAGTGGTAGCGAATGTTTTCATGGAGAAATTTGAACAGATGCTATCCTGACATCCACCCTACGTCCTTCCCTGTGGAAGAGATACGTTGATGCACTTTCGTCATCT